GGAGGAGGAGGAAGTGGAGGGGTGGGTGGAGTTGGGTTTGTTGGTGGATGTGGAGGATGGCGAGGATGGCGAGGTGCTGGGGAGGCTTTTGGAGCGGGTGATGGGGGTGGATTAGTACTACGTAGCTCTCTTCGCACTGCACCATGACAGGATACTTGTGATTGAGCTGGGCTTTTGATATATAATGGGCGAGCATGCATAGTAGGTACTTGTCTCAAAAAAAATATTAAATATTATTTCATCGGAATGAAAGAAGATTTGGAATTTGGATCGCAAGCGATTTGATAAGAGTTCATGCTAGTGAACAGAAGGCACTGCATTTCCGCTTGAAGGATGTGCAATCAAGTAAAGATATTTTGTGGACATTTGGTGGCTCAGGTTGGGTGTACTGCCGGAGACAACCATTGAAGAATGTGTGCGGTGCATGGTATGGGCAGGCTAGGCAGTTTGCTGCTTGGGGATTTCTTGCTGGGCTGCATCACGTGGCTGGAGTCATTGCCATTGACTGATAGAACAGACAGCATTCACAGTTATCCTTGATTGCAGATCGTACTCGCTGCTATCAGATAGACTATTGCCGAAGAGACCAGAGAAAGAAATATCATCCGTGATTAAAATATCTTTGGTTCTGTATTCAGTCAACGGCACATGCTTTCTTCGCTCTATACTTCACACTCTATCTATGTAATCATCATGCAGCCAGTTCCGGCCAATACTTCTGGACTATCGTCTTCTTGTTCACCTTGCCCATGGCGTTGCGCTCGATCGCATCCACCAGCTTCAGCACCGTCGGCACCTTGTAGGCCGCCATCTCCTGCTTGAGCTGCGCGCGCAGACTGCTCAGCTCCAGCGGCTCGGTCTGTGTCATAATGTCAGTTTGCGTCGAATCGATGCGAGTAGCAAAACTCACCCCCGCTCGTTGCTTGACCACCGCCGCCACCCGCTGCCCCCATTCCTCGTCGGCCAGCCCAACAACAGCCACTTCCTGAATCGCGTCCAGCCCCAACATCTTCCGCTCCACCTCCAGCGCCGAGATCTTGTACCCGCCGGACTTGATCAGATCCACCGACGCCCGGCCCTGGATATAGTACGCGCCCTGCGCGTCGCGCCGGGCCACGTCGCCCGTCTTGAACCACCCGTCCTCCGTGAACTCCTTGGCGGTCGCCTCAGGACGCCGCCAGTACTCGCGGAACACATTGTCCCCGCTGATTTCGATCATCCCATCCTCGTCCACCCCCTCAATCACCCGCCCGGTCTCCTTCTCCGTCAGCCGCGCCCGCACCCCGGGCAGGGGCCACCCGACGCTGCCGTCGATGCGCTGCTCGACCGGCAAGCCGCAACTGATGCCCATACCGATCTCCGTCATGCCGTAGCGCTCGAGCAGCACCTGGCCGCCCGAGCACGCCGCAAACTTCTTCTTGATCGGCGTCGGCAGCGCCGCGGAGCCGCTGACCACCAGCCGCAGGGCCTGGGCGCCCGCCCGCGCCGCCGCCTCCTGCGGGGTGCCCCGGAGGCGGGCCTCGAAGTCGTCCACCAGCCGCGAGTAGATGGTCGGCACGGCGAAGAACATCGTCGAGCCGCCCTCGGCCCACCGGCGCCAGATCGTCGCCGGGTCGAACTTGGGGTGCATCTCTACGGTCACGCCCGCCAGCAGCGACGCCGCCAGCCCGTTGATGATCCCGTGTACGTGGTGCAGCGGGAGCACGTGGATGAGCCGGTCCGCCGGGGAATATTGCCACGCCTCGACCAGGCTGCGCGCCTGGAAGGTGATATTCTTGTGCGTGGTCACGCAGCCCTTCGGGTTGGCGGTCGTGCCGGAGGTGTAGATCATCAGGGCCCGGCGCGTGAGGGCCCATTGGTCGGACTGTAGAGGGAAGAAGGCGGGCATGGCGAGCGCCGCGGGTTCGGTGTCCGTTACTTGTTGGAATGGGGTGAGGTGCATGAATGGGATCTCGGTATCGTTGCTGCTGCTGTCGATGCCCTGCAGCAAAGCGTCTTGGGTTCCGGCAAAGGTGGGATGCAGGATGAACAACGAGGGGTCTGAGTCCCCAATTGTGTACAGGAGCTCTTTCACTGGGTGGGAGGTACCTTTACGGATTGAGCGTCATGGTTAGCAGTCCCCAAACGATAAGTCACGTCATATACCCGGAGTAGGGAAGTATAACTTGGAGTAGTAACAAGAACAAAAAGGAAGCGAGAACCTACAGAGTGGCACGCACACGCCCCCTGCCGCCCAGACGGCCCATTGCGTAACGACGTAATCATAGCCATTGGGCACCAGGAACGCGATCCGACGCTCCTCCAGGTCCCCGGTCTCCGTGAGCGCGAGGGTCTCCAGCAGACGCTGCTTCAACGCGGCCGTATCGGCCAGCAGCTGGCGGTAAGTGAACTGTTGGCCCTTGGTGGCATCGTCGACGGCGATGTGGTCGGGGCGAGTCTGCGCATGCTCCTTGGCCGCGCAGAAGAGGGGCAGCTCGGGCAGCGCTGCCAGTCTTGCGGAGCTTTGATCCAAGAAAACGGTGAGTCGAATGGGTGTCTTGGCGGGAGAGGCTATTGTGTCTGTATCTTACCTCGACGGCGATGAGGATGTCTGGTCCTGTACTTCTGCGGCGAGACCCATCTTGGCAACGGGCGACAAAGGGGAGTGAGGAAAGAAGAAGAGGGGGTCTAGGATCAACACAAGCGCGCGCGTGTGTATGGGAAGAGAAAGAAGGAGACTAGAAAAAGAAAAAGAAAAAACTTACATGAATCAGCGATGCAGCCAGTCTTTCCCCGCTTGTCCCTCCATTGCTCGTTACTCGTTATCGATCGGCCAACTGCATGCCGCTTCGGTGGGAGCTTCCCTTCCTCGGCTCTACTTCTGGATGCCGATGGCCTCCTCGGCTTCGGGCGGCAGCCGGGCGTGTTTTCCTCTTACGTACTGGACTGCTTCTCGTAGAGAGACAGGCATCTCCTGGAATTTTTCAATTGAATGCTCTTTAGTTCTTATATGTACATCTCTGAGCCAAACTCTGTCTTGTGATCTTGTGGTGGATTGTGCAGGACTGGGTATATATGCCTGGCAGTGACGGCAGATCGGTGCCTGAGGACGCAGTCTCCACTCAGATAAGACCAAGATTGTCCCACTCCTCGGGCTTATTCCCCTGGCCGAAGTCGGCCCGGGTGAAGACAAACCCGGTACTCCACGTGGTTAATCAGTGAGATGTAGAGTGCTTGGTGTCTGGTATACATTAAGGGGATGACGCAGATCTGGCTGACATATAGTTAGTTGCATGCATGTAAGGTTACATTTCAGAGCAACGAGCTCCCACAAAACTGAATCGTACATAACGGAGCCTCCTGAGGCTGGGTAGTGAAAATAGAAATAGAAATATAGACAGGCGTTCGCAGAGTAACAAAACGCTACAGATCAACCTCATCCCCATTCTCAAATTACCGGCGACGCGGCCGCCGCAGCTTCAGCCAAGCCTGAGATCAACGACTCCGAGCGCGTCATCTGCGGCCGTTCGGCTGAATCCTCCACCTCCAGCCCCTTGGCGACCAGGTCGGTGAAGTCGACTCCAACCTCGGTCAGCAGGTTGGCATGTTCGTGCACGATATCAAGACATTTCTGGTACACGGTGGTGCCCCGCTGCACACTGCTCAGCTGCCGCGTAAGGAGCGCATTAAAGCCGTCGAGGTGATGCTTGGCCCATCGGATGCTGGCACTGGACATGGCCGGCGGAAAGCATTGCTGGTAAATGCTGATGGTGTTTTTAATCAAGGTGAAGTAGACGTAGGAAATCTGGAAGATATACATCGGGAGGTCGCCCTCGAAAACACAGGCTCTGTAGCACGTCAGTTCAGCTCAATACGATGGAAGCAGAAAAGAACCCACCTGATCCGCTTGGATATGACATCAGTTCGCGCTTTGAGATAGGCCTCCCGAGCTTGATCCTCGAAGCCCAAGCGCATCAACCATGTGGACTTGGTCTTCGTCGCTTGGGGGAAGGAGGGAGTGTCCACCAGAGCACGCAGCAATACCTCGGCCAGGGCGGCCGCACGCTCATCCACCTTGGTTGTGATCACGTCCTGCGCAACCGCATTACCCTTCAATCCTCGGGCAAGTTTGCGCAACCGCTCGATGTGGCCCACAGCATCCTCGAACCGCTGCAGAGCAATATCAATGTCTAGTTCGTCGATCTGGCCCTCCACCCACCGCAGGTTCTGTTGCTTGCCATCAACATCGATGCGCAACTCAGGCTTGTCTCGTCCACCGTCCATGCTGACCGGCCGATCCGGCTGAGGAGAGTATGAGGCGTGGCGATAGCCGATTACCTCAGGGGTGGCTTTGCCGGCGGCCTCGGTTTCCGACCGGAGGTTGCGTCGAAGATCCTCGACCGTCTTTCGAAAGGTGGCCAGTAGGTCACTCTTGGCTGAGCTGTCCCGCTTATCATGCCGGTAGGTGAAAGGTTTGCCTCCGACACGCACGTTGATGGCGTTGGTGATGCCCCGGTCTTCAGCATCCTCGCGCGCAACCCCCGCGCCGAGATTAGCTCCGAGATCGATCATATCCACATCCTGAAGGGGCCAACATTCCTCTGCCACCAGCTTCGTAGGCACGGGACCACGATGGCTACTCTGGTCCACGCGCTTGCGTTTCTTGGCCGCCACCAGCAGGTGGTCGTTCAGCAGCACGATGTGCACCGGGCGCCGCGGCTTCCACGTTGCCGAATCCAGCTCGACCCAGTGCCCACTCTCCATCACAATGTGCCGGCCCGGCACCACCGGTAAGAACTTTTGCGATCCTTCCACGGTCTTCCACAACGTCTGCAGCTGCACGTTCCACATACTCTCAAGATTTGCGACCGAGCTGCGGTTGGCATGGCGCTTGGACAGTCGTTCATCGGGCATGGGAGACATGGGATTAGGGGTGGTGCCGACTGTAGTTTGACCGAGCGTGGTAGTCAGCTCCGCCATCAGGGTGCGTAGGGTGCGCATTTCTCCTTTGAGCTTTTCCGCTTCTTTACTGATCTTGATGAACTGGGTCCGATTCTGGTATACATTCTGCTGGAGGTCGGTAGATGTTCGGTTCTTGACTTTTCGTAGACTGCGCTGGTATTCCTCGATCTCTTCCTCGGAAGCATTCGCAAGCAGGTTGGCCACATCTAGATCCAAAGTCAGCACCCAAGAAGCCGGCTGGATTGAAAATTGAGCCACGCCAACTCACATTTATCGACGGGCAAACTGGGATCCCGCAGAGCATCCAAGTCTACCTTTGGCGGACCCGACGATTCGGTGGAGGGTCGGCGACTCGTCTCGGGAGGGCTCAATCCTCCATACGTGGCCGGGAGCGGAGGTAGGCCGGGCACTGGCGGCACACCATCAAAATCAGGGATTTGGTTGAATCGGGTCGAGTACCGTCGCTTGACGAGATCGGAGGTTGCATCTTTGTTGGCAGAGCTGGCGGTGGTCCCATGCACGGGGACGGGGGGCTTGCTGACAGCGGAAGCGCTGGTCGAAGTGCTGGGACTGGGGCTGGTGGTGTTAGGCGGAAGAGGGCCGGAGATGGGCTTCGGAGCACTAATCTGGGGTCGAGGACGGCGAGATTTGCTGCGAAGGGTCAAGCCACGGCTTTCCATGGTGACGTAGCAGGAAGAGAGAGGGGGGTGGGTGGGTGGGGGGAGGGGAGGAGAAGATTGAACCTGCAATCGACCGTAGGTAGTTTTAGAGAAGGAAGAATAATAGAGGGGAAGGAGACGACGACGACAGCCGATGATGATGATGATCAACTCCAGGCACGAAGGCCGAAGCGGGAGGGTAAGTCCGAGGCGGAGAAATGATGATCCCGGCAAAATCATTCCCCAATTGAGCCATTCGCATCTCGTCGTCATCTTCAACTCTCTCCCCTCGAGTCGACTTGCTACATCTCCATCTCCCGCTGCTGTTTTCGTTGTCGCTGTCTCTCCCCGATCATCACCTTCTCCTTCATCTCCACCTACACCATGAGAACCTCCACTTTGGTGGCCGCCACTGCCGGCACGATCATTACCGGCCTTTTGGGTAAGGCTCAGTTACGCCGTGCTATCTATGGCCTGCGTGACGTGCGTGTTGCTAACTCGCTCTTGGCAATTGTTTAGCCTACGCCGTCTACTTCGATCACAAGCGTCAGACCGACCCCGAGTTCCGTCGCGCTCTCAAGCGGAACAACCGCCGCATGGCCCGGGTTGAGAAGGAGGAAGCCGAGGCCCAGGGCGCCATGCAGCGCGAGTCCATCAAGGCCGCCGTGCAGCAGGCTAAGGACGAGGGCTTCCCTACGGACCTGGAGGAGAAGGAGGCCTACTTCATGGGTCAGGTCGCTCGCGGCGAGTCCCTCTGTGCTGAAGGTATGTGTCTTCCGCGGTGAACCCGACCTCCGCGCCCTTTCTCCGCAATATTCCGGCGATATAAATACCAACCTTGGAGCAGAACCCGTTGAGGCAGCTTTGTGCTTCTACAAGGCCTTGAAGGTCTACCCCCAGCCTAAGGACCTCATCTCCATCTACGACAAGACGGTCCCCAAGGAGGTCCTGGAGATCCTGGCTGAGATGGTCGCTATGGATGCCGGCCTTCAGCTCGGCTCCTTCACGGCAGAGAGCTCCGGCCCGGAGAGCCACGGTGTGGAGTAAATCCCTGCACCGTAATCGATTCTCTTTGTCGTTTACTCTTTCCTTCTCACTCCGTCCTCGCTCTGCCTCGAACCTAAACCTGTGACCTGGAACGGGTGTGGCTACTGTGGTGGCCTCCAGTCTATGCAGGGTCATGGTCTGGCTGCAAACCCTCCCGGACGGATCTGTCTAAACATCCTCTTTGATCCCGCTTGCTCTCTCCGCTACTCGTGTAATTTCTTAGGTCGTTCATGTGTTTTGCTTGCCTTATACTTTATTTTTTTTTCTCCTTTCCCCCTGTATATTTGCATTGGGTCTTGAGTGTCGATGAGAGGGACATCTCTTGGTAATGCTCGGCGCCATCATGACTTGTGTGGGTTGATGCTGATGATTTTTTTTTCTCTGCTTTTCCGTGGTTTCCTGGCCCCGGTTATTTGTTCTCTGCTGGGGCGTGTATTCTTAGAAGCGAGCAGTGGTTCTCTTTATTGCTGTGAGACGGGGTCATGGGGAAGAAAATGGGTGCTAGCTGATATAAAAGATGATTATAAAAGTATAAGTCTCCCAAGGGATGAAAGGTATATCTGCGACCGTTGCATTGGTGCATGAATGACGGGGGGGCCGCTCACTCCGCCGATGATCCTTTGTTTCATGAATCACGGACCTCGAAGTGCGTAATGGATAAGCAGCGCAATAATTCGCAATAATTCGCAGCTCGTGCCAGGGTCGATCGTCGGTGCCGCTTGTCTCGCCCCAGTGCCGTGCAGGCCAATGAGGGTGGAACGCGAGGTTGACCAGGTCCACTGCCAATTTGCGCGATGGATTTACCGTGATTAAACCACTGGTTAGCAGTGGAGGAGAGAATGGCCAGGGATGGGTTCATGTCTTGCTGCCCGGCCCCCCTTCCCTTCCCTGACCTTGGAAGAGTGGTTGTACTTAATCATGCTCGCCTTCCCTGCTTTTTTTCCCCCCTCCGAAGCCGATTCTCCAGCGTTAGCCTGAATCCCCTTCGCGACTTCCCTCTTCCTTCCCCTTCTTCGTCATTCGTTTCTTTTTCCGTTGGTTAAGTCCTTCGTTCACTCGTTCTGAAATTATTCCTCGCTGCATTCGGTGCTAGACATCGACCTAGAATTGTGTTGCAATTTGCGCATAGTTGAATATTATCATCATCATCATCATCTATAGGAAAGGATAGGAAAGGAAAGGAAGAGAGAAAATCGAATTCGGAAAGAAAAGATGATTCCCGTGGGTGCCCCCCTTTTCAGGCAACAAACCATCCTATACTTCGCAATCCATGATCATCATGATCATCACAACCAAGATCAACAGTTAACCCAACCTAGACTTACGCTCGTCTGTTCGCCACTGCGTGCGCGTTGGCTACCACCGCCAATGCTGTCACTCCCCTTGTTGTCAAAGGCACCGACTTTGTCAACAGCAAAACTGGTGATCGCTTCCAGATCCTGGGTGTCGAGTAAGCAAGCCCCCGCCGTCCAGGTCGCCCTGGTCATGCCATTCCCAAGAAACAGAATCTCTGATTCTCGACATTTGTACACAGTTACCAGCCTGGTGGTTCTTCTGGCTTCAGCACCACTGAGGATCCCCTCAGCCAGCCCGACGCCTGTCTTCGTGATGCCGCCCTGATGCAGAGCCTTGGTGTCAACACTATCCGTGTTTACAACCTGTCGCCCACCATCGATCACAGCAAGTGTGCTTCCATCTTCAACGGTGCCGGTATCTACATGATCTTGGATGTCAACTCCCCCCTGTACGGCGGCTCTCTTGATCGTACCGACCCCTCTGGCACCTACAATGCCGTGTACTTCGAGCAAGTCTTCGGTGTCATCGAGGCCTTCAAGGACTTCCCCAACACCCTCGCCTTCTTTGCGGGCAACGAGGTCATCAACGAGGACAGTGTCTACGAGGCTCCGGCCTACATTCGGGTACGTTGGAATCACCCGGAACTCATATCAAAGGTCAACATTGCTAAAACTTGACGCTTTTCCAGGCTGTCACCCGCGACATGAAGGACTACATCGCTAAGAACGCCAACCGTACCATCCCCGTCGGCTACTCCGCTGCGGACGTGCGCCCCATCCTCGTTGACACCCTCAACTACCTGTCTTGCGACCTCAAGAACTCCACCAGCTCCCAGGCCGATTTGTTCGGTCTCAACTCCTACTCCTGGTGCGGAGACTCCACCTACAAGGAGAGTGGCTACGACGTTCTGGTTGATGACTTCTCCAACTCTTCGCTGCCCGTCTTCTTCTCCGAGTACGGCTGCAACCTGGTGACGCCCCGCACGTTCTCCGAGGTCGCGACCCTCTACGGCAAGGAGATGTCCGCCGTCTTCTCGGGCGGTCTGGTCTACGAGTGGACGCAGGAGGCGAACAACTACGGTCTCGTCGCCGTCAACAGCAGCGACACCATCTCCCTGCTGACCGACTACGACAACCTGAAGACCCAGTACGGCAAGCTGGACATGAGCAGCATCGAGTCCTCCAACGCCACCCAGACCTCCCAGGAGGCCGTCACCTGCGACACGGCGCTGATCAGCACCAGCACCTTCCTCAACTCCTGGGACCTGCCCAGCCGCCCCACCAAGGTCGACGACTGGATCAGCAACGGCTTCACCAACGCCACCGTCGGCAAGCTCGTCACCGTCTCGTCGACCGCCATCCCCCAGACCGTCTACTCCTCCAGCGGCGGCAAGCTCGCGAGCATCAAGTACACCGTCCTGGCCGACGACGCCTCCAACGTCCCCAACAACGAGACCTCCACCACGACCAGCACCAACTCGTCCAGCTCGTCCAGCTCGTCCAGCACCTCCAGTTCTTCCAGCAGCTCGAGCTCGTCCAGCTCCCACGAGAGCGCTGCCACCGCCGCCGCTCAGATGTCCGCCTCCGTCCTCGGTCTTCTGAGCGGAGTCACCCTGTTCGCCGCTTTCTTGCTGTGAACGCATTTTCTGCCTATTATATAGAATCTTAGATTATATATTTTTTTCTTCAGTGCGCCGATGTTCTCACTGCATCAGGTGTTCTGCCTTTTCATTGATCGATACGATGACTCTCTGGTTCCCGGCGAACGTGTCTGAAATCCCGCAGAGACCTCACCCTGGCCCCGGTTGGTCGGTGGGCGTGGAGACGAATTTCATGTACAAAGAATGACAAATCTGGTCTTTTTGTTCCACAAAGCCCCGGGGGCCGGGGCCATGAGCCTCGCACGGGGCGGGAGACATGGGAATATGAGGTCTTTGATTGGGTTGCTTGGTTGCTTGCCCTGCTTGATGCTACGAGTATATCGTCTAATCCATCTGCTGTATATACCGCACTCTTCCCTTCCAGGCTGCATTCTTCTTGCTTCTGCCTGTGCACGTTTATCGTTATGTATATGTTTAACCACATAGCTACGGAATCAGTAGTTTCACAATAAGGACCTGACACTTACTACGAAGTGTGCTTGTTATGCTCAGTCCCAGTCAAGAGGGAGTCACAATTATGCAGTCCATCAGCTTTGTAGATTCTCTTCTATGATAGACTTGACTTGTAGATCTCCGTCTCCGTTCGATGTATGATATCACAAGATACCCAGAACCCGAAAGCACGTCTAGAAACAAAGTCCGGTGAAATAATCAATGCCGGACGACAGTACACAAGATACAGAAAGCGCAACGTAAGTACAGGACCACAGAACCACAAATATTACCAGACAGAGGGAAACCCGCCCTGTAGACTTAACGCGAGAGAAAGGTATGCACAAAACACCTGGCAAGTATCACGCAACATAGCACAAGATTTATACCTATAGATCCCAAAACTTGGATCATAGGGCGCGCCCCTTGCCTTTATCCCTGCCGGACGGAGGCGGAGGCGGCGGGGTAGCCGACCACGGGGCGAGGGCGGGGAATTCCTCCGGTTGGGACTGCGACTGGGACTGGCTCTCCGCCTCGGCGAGACTCAGCTGGATCGCGAATTCCAGGTCGTCGATCTCCTGCTGGCGACTGCTCTCGGGCAGGACCGGGGAGGTCGAGGCTGGCTGAGGAGACGAGGAAGTGGGATAGGGGGTGGTGTCGAGCGCAGCCGGCCCGAGATCGGCCTTGGGGAGCGGAGGCTGGTCCAGGAGACTGAGACGGATGGCCTCGGCGATCTCGGGGTCGAGGTTCTCGTCGTCGTCCAGGGGGTCTTCGTACGGGGAGGAGGCGGAGGAGAGCTCGTCCGGCGCGAAGGAGCTGTCGTTTGGACCGATGGTGTCGCTGGGGGAGGTGCTCACGGCGGAGCTGGCGCTGGGAAATGCATTGGGGATGGCGATATCACTACCCCGCTTGACCGCCTCGCTGGAGAAGGATTCTTCGCTGAGGAGCTGGGCGTATGCGAGAAGTTGGTCTTCGCTCACATCGGGTCCTAGGAGATCCACGCCGAAGCGCTGGCTTAGATGCGCCCGTTCCTTCTCGTCGGCAATTCTCTGGCGCTCCATTTCCACCCGTTCGTCCTGAATGTAGTCGTTCAGTGCACCGCGGCCGCTGTTGTTAAAGCGCTGGCCGCCGTCCGCAGCGCCGTTGCTGCCTCGAAGACCGCGACGCAGTCGTCGCTTGCTGGACTTGTACTGGTCGGCAGCGGAGGCGCTATAAGACCAGTAGCGCAGGTGAGTGCCCAACGCTACCATGCCACGCAGCACAGTAGGATCTGTGTCAAGGCAGATGGCGCCCGTGGCATAAAAGTTGTTTCCAACTCCATGCATAGACGCCTCGGCTTGAACGAGACGGCGACGAGCGCGAGAGGAGAACCGTGAATTGATGGTCCGAATAGGCCGCGTCGAGGAAGCGAGAGGATCCCATGCCTGAACGAGGCCATCGTTGCCTCCATGCACCAGGTACAGCGAGGTCAAGGCTACGCTGGACACCTGCGGCGACTCAGTCTGGATGATGCGAATGGGCCCGATGTCCTTGATGATCTCGGGGTTTTTCGAGGCCGGAGATCGGACGTCCCAGACGAATACCATTCCCGTGGTAGTTCCCACAGCCATGTACCTTCCGCGTTGGCCTGGTACATCGGTTTTAGTCGTGGTCTGCTTGAGGTGTGGTAATGGAGAGGACATAGCAGACGAGAACGCGGAGCTACCAGACATGCCAATCAGAGGATCCTCATCCGCCGTCAACAAGGCGTAGTTTGAGCGGTCCAAGGCGGTGGTCGTGATCTGGATCGACTTCCGATCACTGAAGTTGAAATCCGAGATGCACCATTCGGTGTTTGCAGCTGTACAAATAGGTTCACCAAAACCACTTGAAGCTCGAGATGGAGTGGAACTGCCGGATGTGCCGGCTAATGAGGGTGTTATGGGTGACTTCACGGGCCCTCCAAAGAGGGACGGCGCAGGAGCACCATCTACAGCGAGGGGGCCGAGACTCAACGGCGGCATGGCAAGCGTGGAAATCTTGCGGGTGTAACGTCGGAGCGCCGCCGTTTCATCCTCGCCCATGCCACGGGAGATCAATATGATCGATTCACCCGCGCCCTGGCCATCGTCTCCGGCAAAATCCACCATCAGCTCTCGCCTCATATCCCAGCCCTCGCAGACTTTCCTGAAGTGCTTGGGCTTGAACGAGAGGAAGCGCTCGATCTCTTTCGTCTCTGCGATGATCTGCTTCTCGTCGAGCTTCATGGCATCAGACGATGATCTGGGGCTGTAGCTACCATCGAGAGGTTCCCGACTGAACGGGTCCGGCCGAGCGGTCCGCCTGGTCAGTTCTATCAACTCCCATCGAGCACTTCTACCAGTCTTCCACGCGAGTTGATCGTACTCCTCAGCAGTAAGCTTCGTAGAAGCCACATCCGGCTGTCGTGGAATGTCAGACAGGTAGAAGACCTCGCCCAGTGCATTGAGGGCAGTTGCCCAAATGCGACGACGCGCGTAGCGTCTTGGTGAGAAACTCTCATCGACAGCAATCGCGACGATGGGAACACCCGGACATAGTACCCATCTCGCGGTCACCTGGCCTCTTTCATACCGTTTCTCATAGGTAGGATGGGGGCCAAGAGCGTACGCTGACAGAATACCAGTGGATGAACCTGAAAGCATTGCAACCAAGCCATCGGTCATCTTGAGCATATTGGAAGACTTAGCGATCCAAACAGCAGTGGTACCGCTAGTGATGTGGTTGAGCGCCGGGATCCCCAAATGAGGCTGAGATCCCAGGTCCGACAAACCTAAGAATCTACCGCGTTGCTCCGTCGTAGAGATGAAGTAGGCCCGGCCCTGCGGACAAGCCTCACCGTATATCATACCAAACGGCTGACTGACGTCCATGCGATTCGGCATGCCAGCGAGGTCTCCGGACCCGAGCCCATACTCGGCATCACCAGGGAAAAGATCGGCAAAATGCCGGAACATCTGATGATCGGAGAGGCCCCAGGTTCCGACCTTGACCGCGGACGGGTCGCTGGCGGACGCGATGCCTTGCTCCGAGGCCCCATGAATGAAAACCGGTTCCTTCTTAGTGACCTCCGACCCAAACGAGCCGTGCAGATGGCTGACAGGGTACAGAAGCTGGGAGGTATACGTGACCACGGCGCTGCCATTGCGAACATTCGCAGTGCGGACGGTGCCGGACCTCTTCGGCGGCTCGAACTGGCCCGGCTTGCCCCGGGAGAGCGACCGCAGCAGACGCGTGCGGAGGATGTACTCGCTCCGCCACGAAGCCAGAGCAGTTAAGCGCGAGAAGTAGCGCTTATCAGAGGTCACACGGTCCGAGTTTTCACCAACAGACAGCCAGGCGCCATCCTCTACCGTGTACGGGCCGGGAAAGTACCGGGAAAATGCAATTCGCCACGCGTGGGGCGTGGTGACCAAAGTGTGCAGCCGACGAGATACCAGCGCAATCGACGACAACGATGGAGGCGGCAAATGCGACAGAATGTGTGTGAGTACCTCTATCCAGCACAGCGAATCAGTCTGCCGATCCCTACTTTGTGCAGGGGCGAGGTGCAAGCATACCGTTGGGGAAAGATTCCAGTGAGAAGCCCGAGTACGTCGATGCTGGGGGCGTCACGTTGAGGCCCCGGTCGGCGGGGCTCTCGGAGAACTGCGCGGCAGCAGCAAGCTCGTACTGGCTGACAGGGTCAATCGACGATGGGAGGGGTGGTGGAGTCGCAGTGCGCCCGTTCAAGGGCGGCTGTGCGCCGGATGAGTCACGGCTGAGACTGCAGTCTCCAGGCTCGCCATCGCGAAACCCAGAGACTCGTTGCTCACCATGCGAATCATGTCCATGCTGAGTGGGATCGAGAGATTCTTCCGAGAAGGGTTTAACCGGAGGCGAGCGGTCGAAGACTGTGGAAGGCTCTGATTGCATAAAAGAGTTTCGCGGGGTAAGTGGCACAACGGAGGCGACTGAACCAGGGAGACAGTCTGGGTCAGTCGAGAGGGAAAGATGGGTGGAAAATGATGGAGGGAGGGAAAGCGCGCGGACAGGCAGGATGAGCAGAGCGTATCAACAAAAGGTAAGTAAAGGAACTGTATAGTATAGGAGGGAAGGGTGGAAGAATTCAAGAGAGAGGAGAGGACGGAGAAGAGAAGAGTCGAAGGCAAGAAAGGTACGAAGTGACGAAAGGAGGGGATCGGACGGGCTCGAGCCGGTCTCGCCCGCGTCCCATGATCCAGGTCACGTGAGCACGCGGCGAGGCGCGACTTTCTCGAAAAGGGAATTAATTGATTATTCCATTTGCAGCCCAACAATATCCAACTACGCACTGCGTGCGATTACTGTGTCCCGACTGCAACGAACAGTCTCAAATGCTATACGCATGAGGAGCTGCGTCTTCTCCTTTCACTCGGCAGCGTAGGCAGCACTGGCCCATTCCAGGCAGCCAGGCGATACATGAAACTCAAATAACCGAGTTCATCTGAGCGTCTACATTCTTCTCGGTTATCCAAATTTCCCCAACTGCATCATCCTGCCATCAAGATCGACACAAGATGCCAAATCTTGGCGGTAAGTCCACTTCCACCACCTCGAAAAGTCTCCTCAACTAAATGCCGACCAGACGCAGAAACCATCCGCATCCTCGTGGCCACCGACAACCATGTGGGCTACAACGAGCGGGACCCCATCCGGGGCGACGACAGCTGGAAGAGCTTCCACGAGGTGATGTGCCTGGCCAAGGAGCACGACGTGGACATGGTGCTGCTCGCCGGCGATCTCTTCCACGAGAACAAGCCGTCCCGGAAGTCCATGTACCAGGTGATGCGGTCGATCCGCATGAACTGCCTGGGCGACAAGCCGTGCGAGCTGGAGATGCTCAGCGACGCCAGCGAGAACTTCCAGGGGGCCTTCAACCACGTCAACTACGAGGACCTGGACATCAACGTCGCCATCCCCATCTTCTCCATCCACGGCAACCACGACGACCCGTCGGGCGAGGGCCACCTGGCGGCGCTGGACATCCTCCAGGTTTCCGGACTGATCAACTACTACGGCCGCACGCCCGAATCCGACAACATCCAGGTCAAGCCGGTCCTGCTGCAGAAGGGGCGGACCAAGCTCGCGCTGTACGGGATCAGCAACGTGCGCGACGAGCGGCTGTTCCGCACCTTCCGCGACGGCAAGGTGAAGTTCTACCAGCCCTCCATCCAGAAGGAGGACTGGTTCAATTTGATCTGCGTGCACCAGAACCACCACGCCTACACGGAAACGGGCTACCTGCCGGAGAACTTCCTGCCGGAATTCTTGGATCTGGTCATCTGGGGCCACGAGCACGAATGCCTGATCCACCCGCGCCGGAACCCCGAAACCCACTTCCACGTCATGCAGCCGGGCTCGTCCGTCGCCACCTCGCTGTGCCCCGGCGAAGCCGTCGCCAAACACGTCTCCCTCGTGAGCATCACGGGCCGCGAGTTCAAGAGCGAGCCCATCCGCCTCAAGACGGTGCGGCCCTTCGCCATGCGCGAGATCGTGCTGTCGGAGGAGAAGGGGGCGCAGAAGCTCGCGCGCAAGGAGAACAACCGCACCGAACTCACGCGGTTCCTGATGGGCATCGTCGAGGAGCTCATCGAAGAAGCCAAGGAAGAGTGGCTCGAGATGCAGGACGAGGAGCCGCCGACCGCCACGGCCGCCGAGGACGATGACGACCAACCACCCCGCGAGATCCCCTTACCTCTGGTGCGCCTGCGCGTGGAGATCTCCACCCCGGATGGCGGTAGCTACGACTGCGAGAACCCGCAACGGTTCTCGAACCGCTTCGTCGGCCGCGTCGCCAACGTCAACGACGTGGTGCAATTCCACCGGAAGAAAAAGACCACGGCCGGAACCACGCGGCGGAAGGACGGCGGCACCACGGAGGTCGACGAGGCGGCCATCTCGCACCTGGCGACCCTCGACACCGTCAAGGTCGAGCAGCTGGTGCGCGATTTCCTCGCCACGCAGTCCCTGACCATCCTGCCGCAGAACTCCTTCGGCGACGCGGTGGCCCAGTTCATCGACAAGGATGACAAGCACGCGCTGGAGATGTTTGTCAACGAGTCTCTGGAGAGCCAGATCAAGCATCTCATGGCGCTGGACCGCGACACCGACGAGATCGACGCGGCGGAGGAGCTGGCGCAGAGCTCGTTGCACAAGGCGATGGAGCGGTACCGCACGCAGATGGAGGATATGTTCACCCGCGGGGTCAACAAGCGCAGCCGCCACGCCCGCGGGGGCAAGCGGCGCTACAAGCCCAAGCCCGATGGCTGGGACAGCGAGTTCGATGGCGCGTGGGAGGAGCAGCCGGGCGCGCTGATCCACTCGGACAATGAGGGCGGGGATCCGAACGAGGATGTCGCCGCGGAGGACGGTCTTGGGTCTACTACGACCGCCCGCGCATCCTCGACCACGCGGGGCAGGGGGCGGGGACGCGGCGGGAGGGCCGCAGCTACAGGGACGAGTACACGAAAGACCACCACAACAAAAACTACAGCCACGGCCACGAAAAAGGCCGCCGCTACGACGTCAAAAGCCGCTGCGGGTCAAGGCCGGCGACGTCGCGCGGTGTCGGAGGACGAGGACGATGAAGAGGAGGATGTGATTATGCTTGACGACGATGACGACGACGACGATGCGGTATCTGGCTTGCCCGATATCGACGAGGACGACGAGGACGATGACTCCCAGGCTCTCTTCGTCAAACAACCCGCGACTCGGACACGGAGGGGAGCAGCCGCAGCAGCCGCAGCAGCACCTCCACCAGCCGCCTCTAAAAAGACTACGACGACCAGCCAACGTCGCGCAGCCGCTCCGCCTGCCGCCTCAACCCGCGCCACGGGCGCAACGGGGACGAGCACGCGCCCGACAAGAACCCGCCAGCAGACCCAGACGACGCTGAATTTCGTGGGCTCCCAGAGCAGCGGTCCCCGGAGCACCAGGACGAGGGGCGCGAGTGTGGCCAGCGAGGAAATCGACGACGACAGTGATGGGTTCGAGCCGATGGCGGTGCCTCGGCGGCGGTAGCGACAATCTACGGACGTATGACTCGATCGGATTTAGGGAGGGCGGAATCTAGTGTAGTGCAGCATCATCGGCGCATCGGTTTGGGCACGGGGGAACAGAGTTTCCCCATGGCGTTTCTGCCAGGTTGTTTTAGCGTTTACGAGTATTCAATTGATCCAATCGACTCGAGAGCGGTTTCCCGGAGCGGGAGCTGAAGCGCCGGCTTCCTCGGTTGATTATCAAGTTGCAGTCAGTCAATTTACACAAGTAGGAATTCAGTGATGAATTCAATTAATCAATCAATCACCTACCTCCGCAGTAAAACCGGGGTGCCTGGCGCGGAGGGGTAGGTAGGCTCCAAGCTTGAGCTCTAGGCTCCAAGCTCCAAACTCCACGCTCCACGCTCCAAGCTCCAACGGTGCGCGCGGGCGCGGTGCAGGGTGGGCTCGCGAGAAGCGGTGGGCGGCAAGCGGGCACTTGATTGCCAAGCTGGGCAACCACCAACCGAACTTACCTTACGGGCACAGACGCACTATTGAGGGACCAGTCCGAACTAGCGGGTGGCCACCCACGGCGACGGGCTGGCCATTGGCCCCCCTTTTTCTTTGCAGGGGGTTTGGGTTTGGGTGGCAGACGGGACACACAAAGGTTTTATCCTTGGGGTCGGAGGCAGGTGCTGATCGAGTCTAGACTGATGATCGTTATCTGGGTGGTGGTGGTGATGGTGGTAACTAGTAGCAGTCACTAAGTTACCTGGTAGGGAGAGCTGCGGGATATGGGCTGGATAAGGGGGAGGGAGAGGGGTTTAGTAGGTGGTAACCTAGTGACTTATGACAGATACAGATTGGAGGAAAAGAAAGTCAACTTTACCTGCTTATGCAGCCAATAAAGTCAATCACGCCTGGGATGTACAGTACTCGAGTAGGCTGCAGTCAACCGAGTCCACGGTGCTGAACACAACCAACGAATCCGACATGGGAAAGGAACCCTGCTGGAAGTGCTGGCCAATCTCCACAAGGCTAGTGGATCCAGGATAAAACCATGCCATGCCATGAACTGTCGGAGAGTCCAAAAGTTGCGCTGGGGAAGTCATTGGATGGACCCCCTGACGCTTTACTCAGTTGAGGAAAAGACAAACAGCCGACAACTTGGAAACCCTGGGAATTGCCGAATTGGGTAATGTCCTCCAGCATGGATCCATCATGGATCATGCAGCAGCCGCCATGCAGCATCCCAATTGAGCCTTCCAGCTCCACTCCCCTTCCACTCCTCCAGCTTTCCCCCGACTCGAGTCCTTCTCTGCTTGTGCCTGCCATGGTTGATCCGCGCTTGCAGCTTGGGCCCCGCCGCGCTCGTTCTTCTGCCTGGCTGGTCTAAGACGTCTCCATCCTCCTTCTCTTCCTCCTCCTCCTCCTCCTCCTCCTCTTCTCTTCTTCTCTCTTCTCTTCTTCAGGTGTTTTAACCCTCAGTCATTCGTTTCTCAAACTCCACCTCTCCACTGACCATAGTCTTTCGTTTCGGGATCAGGATTCTGATCCCTCGCCAGTCGGCAATCATACCTATCTCCCCCCCTGAGTCACGTCACAAAATCCAGTCCTTTACCACCTTCAGACACCGTAGAACGCCATGAAGTCCATTAGCGCAACCACATTGCTCCTCATTGCCGGGGTCGAGGCCGCCAGTCACGCCCACCGTCATGGACACCACGCGGCCGTCGAAAGAGCCGTCCAGGCGACCAAGAAGACCGGAAGCTGTCAGTTTCCCTCGGATGCGGGCCTGGTGGCCGTCACCCCGGGCGAGCTGAACGGGGGCTGGGCCATGAGTCCGGACCAGGAGTGTACGCCCGGCGGATACTGCCCCTACGCCTGTCCACCCGGGCAGGTCTCCATGCAATGGGACCCCGAGGCCACCTCGTACTCTTTCCCGCTGTCGATGGTATGTGTCGCCGCCAGCCCCGTGGCACGGTCCACCCAACTGATCAAGATCTGTAATAGAACGGCGGTCTGTACTGCGACGAGGACGGCAACATCCAGAAGCCCTTCCCGAAGAAGCCGTACTGCCAGGACGGCACCGGTGCTGTGAGCGCGAAGAACAAGTGCTCCAGCCATGTGTCGTTCTGTCAGACCGTCCTGCCGGGCAACGAGGCCATGCTCATCCCCACCTTGGTGCAGGAGCTGGAGACCCTCGCCGTGCCGGATGTCGAGTACTGGCTCGAGACTGCGGCGCAGTAAGTCTCTGTTCGAGCGAGCATGATGCATGAACTGACCGGAGTAGCTTCTACATCAACCCGCCCGGCTATAGCACCGACACGGCCTGCGTCTGGGGAACTTCGTCGAGCCCGATCGGCAATTGGTCGCCTTATGTGGCCGGTGCCAACACCGACGCCTCGGGCAACACGTACGTGAAGATCGGATGGAACCCGATCTACCTGGAGTTGACGACGCCCTTCCGCGACGTGGTGCCCGACTTTGGCGTGGAGATCGAGTGCGAGGGCGACAGCTGCAACGGACTTCCCTGCAAGATCGATCCGGATGTGAACGGGGTCAACGAGATGACGGGCTCCAGCTCGATCGGCGCCGGAGGGGCCGCGTTCTGCGTGGTCACGGTTCCCAAGGGCGAATCGGCGAACATTGTTGTGTTTGACAAGGCGAGTTCGTCTGGGGGCAGCAGCACTGTCAGCAGCGTTGTGGCCAGCAGCAGCAGCAGCAGCAGCAGCTCAAGCATTAAGAGCACCAGCACTTCGAGTACCTCGACCAGTACCTCGACTAGCACCAGCAGCACCAGCACCAGCACTCGCACCTCGGCTACTCCCACCAGCACCAGCACCAGCACCAGCACCACCAGCTCATCCATCGCTTCCAGCACCAGTTTCAGTACCGCTTCTAGCACCTCCGTCGCAGGCAGCAGAACCACCACCATTTTCTCCACCACCATCATCTTCAATCCGACGCGGATCCCCATTCAGGGCCCCTCATCGAGCTTGAAAGTGAGCTCATCTGCCGCCGTCGAGTCCGCCAGCTACACGTACGCGCCGCACGCTTTCGTTGAAACCGGCCATGTGCAGATGGAGGCGGTGGCTCAGAGTGGCAGCGAAGCCAGCGCAGCATCTGCGACGCCGACCGTCATGGCCGCGGCTCAAGGAGGCGCCAGCAGCAAGACGGTGTCGACGCTGGGGTTGGTGTTCGCGGTGGTTGGCGCCGTGCTGATGGTTTAGACAGCATGTCTGACCTGATCATTCACTATATTTAATTTTGTTTCTTCTTCACTTCACTTCGACAGGAACATTTTACCTTATATTATTGTATACCCTTATGATACGATGTTCTTGTATATTATTGATTGATGAGTTTTGATGTTAATATTAATCTTCTTCTCTGACCATAGCAAGAAGTGGCTCGTGGGTAGAATTTTTTTTGAATCAACGTAGACTGTTGTTGAGAGGAGAATGAAAGATAAACAAGGGGGAGCGATGAGTGAAGTAGGAGTATAGCAACCGAAGGAAGCCAAACAACCCGCCCGGCCCGGAAATGCCAAGCGGGAGAATGGACGATAGCGTCATCCACCTCCGTATCTCTCAGTCTGCAGGCTCCTCCGCTTCTCCGCTTCTCCGTCTTCATCGCACTCTCTATTTCGTATGTACAGTACACAACCAAGACCTCAACATGCCTCCGTCACCACAAACAGTACGTCTGCCTGCCCTGTTTACCGTTTTGCCTTCAGCATCCACCCCCCAAACAAACCCCCGCACCAAACCCCGCAGCGCCCAACCCACGCCCC